ATTACAGAATTACTTGGTAAAATAGAAAAACCATATAGTAAATCGTTAATTTGCAAAATGTCATTCTATCATATCCATTGTCTCGCATTTCATTGTTCATGCGATTTCTTACAACGTCCATTAATTTATCGCTCTTCTTTTCTTGATCTTCTCCATCTTCTGCTGCCAGACATTGCGTTCTTTTGACTCACGTTATCTACTACTTATATCAATATAAGTAGCACGCACCACACTCGTCTCCCCTTTCAACAAGTTGCTGTCGTAGTCTTTCTGACCTCCGTACCGCTGTGTTCTTTGGTGCTTTTCGTGATTCACACCCATGATGATCTTGAAACCATCTCTGTAGTTGACTAGCATTTACGCGCTTCCGTTTGTCTTCTCTCCGGATCGTGTAGACTGAGCCGCGTCTCTCCGTGATAACATACGGTCCTTCCCATTTTGGGGTCAGCTTCCCCGACCCTGCTCCCCCTGCTATGTTACTTTTTCGTTCTCTACACTTTACTAGGTCCCCCACTGCAAAGGGTTTCCACGTTCTCCTCTGTTGTTCTGCCTTCTTTGTGTCTGATATTTGTTTCTTTTCCACGTTCCTTATTGCCTCTCTCCTCTCTTTTCTTAACCTTGTTGTCGTCCACTTCTGTTGTTGTGGCCAGGTCTTATTATGCAGTGGAAGTCGTGGTTGTCTGCCATACATGAGCAAGAAAGGTGACTTCTTGGTTGTTCCTTGTGTGGAGGAACGATGTGCCAGCAAAATCAATGGTAACTCTTTCTCCCAATTTCCTCCTTTTGATGCTAACCATTCCTTTAACGTCCGATTGTTTCTCTCTGTAAGCCCGTTTGTCTGAGGATGATACGGTGTAGTTCGTATTCTCTTGATGCCAAACTGCTTTAAACGGGCTTTAAACTCGTCACTTTCAAAACAGGGACCCTGGTCAGTTAATATCATCTTCGGTATTCCGTGACACGCTACAATATGCCGAATTACCACCTCGGTCACTGTCCTTGCCCGCTGGTCTGCAATGGGTACGGCATCTACCCAACGTGTAGCATGTTCCGTCATCACTAACAGGTACTGGTTACCGCTCGCCGTCTGTGGAAACGGTCCCATCACATCCACCGACCATAGATCACCGACTGCGGTTACTGGGATTGACTGTAATGGCGGTTGTGTGTATCGATCGCTTTTCATTAGCTGACACTGCTGGCAGGTTAACACGTATTCAGCCACATCGTCTCTCATGCTCGGCCAGTATGCACTTTGTCGTAGTAAGTCCGTCGTTCTTGCGATGCCTGTATGTGCTACCTGGTGACACTCGTGTATCATTTTGCGCCGCCAGTCTTTCGGGATCACCGCCACCCAATTCTCATCATCGTCCTGCCAGGTCAGCACTCCATATGAGTTCACTCTCAGTCGTTCCTTTTGCCGAAGCAGCGTTATTACCTCCTTGTCCATTGTTCGTTTATCTACGTCTGCTCCCTCTTTTATCACTCTGATTACCTCTCGAAGGTTAGGGTCAGCTTTCTGCTGCCGGACGAGTTCTAATGGGTCTCCCTCTAAACTATTCACCGCGTATGCTGTTAATGGCAGGTCGGCTTCCATGTCTGGTCTTGACAAGTAATCCGCCATTACGTTTTCTTTTCCTGGAACATGGCCGATACTGAAATCGTATTCTTGCAGGCGTATCATCCATCGCGCCAACTTCCCTCGGGGGTCTCTTGCGGTTTTCAACCACTGCAGGGGTTTATGGTCGGTCTCAATGTGAAATCGTCTACCTAAAAGGTATGGTCTCCATTTTTCCACTGCCCACACGATCGCTAAACACTCCTTTTCGATGGTTGAATACTTCTGTTCAGCAGGTGTGAGGACGCGACTCGCGTATTCCACCACTCTATCAGCCTGACTCAACACAGCACCTATACCATGATCACTCGCGTCTGTGGCCACTGTAAACAGTCTTCCCGGTTCAGGCAGTCTGAGCGTCATCTGGCGATCGTCTAGCATGTTTTTGATTCGGTTGAACGTTTGTTCGGCAGTCTCAGTCCACGTAAACTTGGTGCTGCTCAATAACTTATATAAGGGTGCTGCTATTTCGTTGAAATTCTTGATAAACCGACTGTAGAACGCCGCTCTTCCCAGGAACTGTCTCAACTTCCTTTTCGAATTAGGTACTGCAATATTTTTTATGGTAAGAATTTTCTCCGGCAATGGTTTTATTTCTCCATTTCCCACTTTATGTCCCAACAATGTGACGCTACTTCTCGCTATCTGCGACTTGTCCTTATTAATCCGAAGTCCAAATTCGTCAATTCGCTTTAAGACCGCTTCCACATGCTTGATGTGATCTGTTTCTGTTTGACTGTACACAACTACATCGTCGCCATATACCTCGACATTATCTAGATTCTTGAGCAATAGTGTCATTAATCTTCTGAACGTGAACGGTGCACCCGCCAACCCGAACGGCATTCGTTTAAATTGATACTGTTTATCACGTACAGTAAACGCTGTCTTGCTTCGATCACTCTGTTTTATAGGTAGTTGCCAATAACCTGACCGTAAATCCAGCACTGTAAACACCGTGGCATTCTGTAGCCGATCTAATGTTTCCACCACTGTTGGCATTGCACAAGGCTTCAGGTCTGTTATATTATTCAATTCTCTGAAGTCGACACAAAATCTATACTTTCCATTTGGTTTCTTTGCCAAGAGTACCGGCGAGCTATATGGACTGTCCGCTTCCTAAATTATACCTTCTTTTAACAGTTCCTGGACCTGACGATTTACCTCGGCCTCTAAATGCACCGGGACACGACGTGTTGCAAATATATTTACTCGACTGTTCTTTATCGGTATTTCGTGCTTTACTCTGTCACAAAATCCATACGGCTCCCCATCTCCAGTGAATAGTTTCGCATACTTTTTGCATAACTCGTGAATGTTTGGTTTCTTTGACGAGACATCCGCTGCAACTCTTATTTCAGCCACTTCGCTACTTTTGTGTATTGTCAATGAACCATATTTCGTGACCACCTTACCGCTTCTTAAGTCAACTATCGCTTTTACTTCTCTTAGGAAATCTGCTCCTAATATCGGTCTCGATAAGCTTGTGGTTACGACGAACGGAAAATTTATCTCAGCATCCCCCACTTTTACGATACTGTTAGATACGCCAAACACCTCTAACATATGGCCCCCTATCGTGTGGACAGCTAATGTACACGGCTTGATTTTCTTACATTGCTCTTTGCCTATTAACGATACTGCTGCACCTGTATCGATCAGACAAACTAAATCTCGCTCATTTATGTTCACTCTCGTATATACTGTCCCTCTGTCTACTAACGCAACAATCCCCAGATTCATAGGATAGAAAGAACACTCGTTGTAACGTCTAACATATCTGCGTCTTCGTCTTGTTGGACAGTTTATCTTCCAATGTCCTGTCCCTCCACAAGCGTAACATTTATCGTTCCTTTTATTGTTCACTCGTATTGCTGCAATCTCACGCTCCAGCTCCTCAATCTTCTTCTCGACATTATTCATCTCCTGCTTTTCGCACCCGACCGGAGCTACTGTTCGCGTCATCAGCTGTCGAGTCACCTTCGCCAGTTCACTGATATCCATCGGTTGCGCTGCGTTCACCAGTTTTAGTTGTTGGGAGACGGTGGCAGGCACACTCTCGATAAACTGTGACGCCAACAACTGTGCCTCCGACTCCTCATCCAGACTCGGCAGCGCACGGCGTAACAATCTGGTAAGCTCCACAGCCAGCACCAGTGGGTCACCATCGACCGGCAACCTCGCCAACCGGAACTTCTGCAGCGCGTCCTCTCTGTCCACTGGGCTGTCAAACTCCGCTGCCAACCGCTCCGTGACTGCCTCCCACGTCGTCTTCCCGCCAGCACCGTCCAAGCTGTCATACACAGCCTTCGCTCTGCCTCTCAGCAGCGTCCCCAGCACCACCAACTTCATCTTCGGCTCCTTCACCCCCGCCAGCTCCGCCACGGCCTCAAACTCCTTCAGGAAGCTCAGCACATCCCCGTCCTCAAACTCCTTCGGCCATGGAATCTTCATCCTTAGTGGAGGCAGCGACACCAAATGTAGTGAAGAAGAACACGGGTGAGGACAGCCAAATTGTATTTAGGGCAAATTACAGAATTACTTGGTAAAATAGAAAAACCATATAGTAAATCGTTAATTTGCAAAATGTCATTCTATCATATCCATTGTCTCGCATTTCATTGTTCATGCGATTTCTTACAACGTCCATTAATTTATCGCTCTTCTTTTCTTGATCTTCTCCATCTTCTGCTGCCAGACATTGCGTTCTTTTGACTCACGTTATCTACTACTTATATCAATATAAGTAGCACGCACCACACTCGTCTCCCCTTTCAACAAGTTGCTGTCGTAGTCTTTCTGACCTCCGTACCGCTGTGTTCTTTGGTGCTTTTCGTGATTCACACCCATGATGATCTTGAAACCATCTCTGTAGTTGACTAGCATTTACGCGCTTCCGTTTGTCTTCTCTCCGGATCGTGTAGACTGAGCCGCGTCTCTCCGTGATAACATACGGTCCTTCCCATTTTGGGGTCAGCTTCCCCGACCCTGCTCCCCCTGCTATGTTACTTTTTCGTTCTCTACACTTTACTAGGTCCCCCACTGCAAAGGGTTTCCACGTTCTCCTCTGTTGTTCTGCCTTCTTTGTGTCTGATATTTGTTTCTTTTCCACGTTCCTTATTGCCTCTCTCCTCTCTTTTCTTAACCTTGTTGTCGTCCACTTCTGTTGTTGTGGCCAGGTCTTATTATGCAGTGGAAGTCGTGGTTGTCTGCCATACATGAGCAAGAAAGGTGACTTCTTGGTTGTTCCTTGTGTGGAGGAACGATGTGCCAGCAAAATCAATGGTAACTCTTTCTCCCAATTTCCTCCTTTTGATGCTAACCATTCCTTTAACGTCCGATTGTTTCTCTCTGTAAGCCCGTTTGTCTGAGGATGATACGGTGTAGTTCGTATTCTCTTGATGCCAAACTGCTTTAAACGGGCTTTAAACTCGTCACTTTCAAAACAGGGACCCTGGTCAGTTAATATCATCTTCGGTATTCCGTGACACGCTACAATATGCCGAATTACCACCTCGGTCACTGTCCTTGCCCGCTGGTCTGCAATGGGTACGGCATCTACCCAACGTGTAGCATGTTCCGTCATCACTAACAGGTACTGGTTACCGCTCGCCGTCTGTGGAAACGGTCCCATCACATCCACCGACCATAGATCACCGACTGCGGTTACTGGGATTGACTGTAATGGCGGTTGTGTGTATCGATCGCTTTTCATTAGCTGACACTGCTGGCAGGTTAACACGTATTCAGCCACATCGTCTCTCATGCTCGGCCAGTATGCACTTTGTCGTAGTAAGTCCGTCGTTCTTGCGATGCCTGTATGTGCTACCTGGTGACACTCGTGTATCATTTTGCGCCGCCAGTCTTTCGGGATCACCGCCACCCAATTCTCATCATCGTCCTGCCAGGTCAGCACTCCATATGAGTTCACTCTCAGTCGTTCCTTTTGCCGAAGCAGCGTTATTACCTCCTTGTCCATTGTTCGTTTATCTACGTCTGCTCCCTCTTTTATCACTCTGATTACCTCTCGAAGGTTAGGGTCAGCTTTCTGCTGCCGGACGAGTTCTAATGGGTCTCCCTCTAAACTATTCACCGCGTATGCTGTTAATGGCAGGTCGGCTTCCATGTCTGGTCTTGACAAGTAATCCGCCATTACGTTTTCTTTTCCTGGAACATGGCCGATACTGAAATCGTATTCTTGCAGGCGTATCATCCATCGCGCCAACTTCCCTCGGGGGTCTCTTGCGGTTTTCAACCACTGCAGGGGTTTATGGTCGGTCTCAATGTGAAATCGTCTACCTAAAAGGTATGGTCTCCATTTTTCCACTGCCCACACGATCGCTAAACACTCCTTTTCGATGGTTGAATACTTCTGTTCAGCAGGTGTGAGGACGCGACTCGCGTATTCCACCACTCTATCAGCCTGACTCAACACAGCACCTATACCATGATCACTCGCGTCTGTGGCCACTGTAAACAGTCTTCCCGGTTCAGGCAGTCTGAGCGTCATCTGGCGATCGTCTAGCATGTTTTTGATTCGGTTGAACGTTTGTTCGGCAGTCTCAGTCCACGTAAACTTGGTGCTGCTCAATAACTTATATAAGGGTGCTGCTATTTCGTTGAAATTCTTGATAAACCGACTGTAGAACGCCGCTCTTCCCAGGAACTGTCTCAACTTCCTTTTCGAATTAGGTACTGCAATATTTTTTATGGTAAGAATTTTCTCCGGCAATGGTTTTATTTCTCCATTTCCCACTTTATGTCCCAACAATGTGACGCTACTTCTCGCTATCTGCGACTTGTCCTTATTAATCCGAAGTCCAAATTCGTCAATTCGCTTTAAGACCGCTTCCACATGCTTGATGTGATCTGTTTCTGTTTGACTGTACACAACTACATCGTCGCCATATACCTCGACATTATCTAGATTCTTGAGCAATAGTGTCATTAATCTTCTGAACGTGAACGGTGCACCCGCCAACCCGAACGGCATTCGTTTAAATTGATACTGTTTATCACGTACAGTAAACGCTGTCTTGCTTCGATCACTCTGTTTTATAGGTAGTTGCCAATAACCTGACCGTAAATCCAGCACTGTAAACACCGTGGCATTCTGTAGCCGATCTAATGTTTCCACCACTGTTGGCATTGCACAAGGCTTCAGGTCTGTTATATTATTCAATTCTCTGAAGTCGACACAAAATCTATACTTTCCATTTGGTTTCTTTGCCAAGAGTACCGGCGAGCTATATGGACTGTCCGCTTCCTAAATTATACCTTCTTTTAACAGTTCCTGGACCTGACGATTTACCTCGGCCTCTAAATGCACCGGGACACGACGTGTTGCAAATATATTTACTCGACTGTTCTTTATCGGTATTTCGTGCTTTACTCTGTCACAAAATCCATACGGCTCCCCATCTCCAGTGAATAGTTTCGCATACTTTTTGCATAACTCGTGAATGTTTGGTTTCTTTGACGAGACATCCGCTGCAACTCTTATTTCAGCCACTTCGCTACTTTTGTGTATTGTCAATGAACCATATTTCGTGACCACCTTACCGCTTCTTAAGTCAACTATCGCTTTTACTTCTCTTAGGAAATCTGCTCCTAATATCGGTCTCGATAAGCTTGTGGTTACGACGAACGGAAAATTTATCTCAGCATCCCCCACTTTTACGATACTGTTAGATACGCCAAACACCTCTAACATATGGCCCCCTATCGTGTGGACAGCTAATGTACACGGCTTGATTTTCTTACATTGCTCTTTGCCTATTAACGATACTGCTGCACCTGTATCGATCAGACAAACTAAATCTCGCTCATTTATGTTCACTCTCGTATATACTGTCCCTCTGTCTACTAACGCAACAATCCCCAGATTCATAGGATAGAAAGAACACTCGTTGTAACGTCTAACATATCTGCGTCTTCGTCTTGTTGGACAGTTTATCTTCCAATGTCCTGTCCCTCCACAAGCGTAACATTTATCGTTCCTTTTATTGTTCACTCGTATTGCTGCAATCTCACGCTCCAGCTCCTCAATCTTCTTCTCGACATTATTCATCTCCTGCTTTTCGCACCCGACCGGAGCTACTGTTCGCGTCATCAGCTGTCGAGTCACCTTCGCCAGTTCACTGATATCCATCGGTTGCGCTGCGTTCACCAGTTTTAGTTGTTGGGAGACGGTGGCAGGCACACTCTCGATAAACTGTGACGCCAACAACTGTGCCTCCGACTCCTCATCCAGACTCGGCAGCGCACGGCGTAACAATCTGGTAAGCTCCACAGCCAGCACCAGTGGGTCACCATCGACCGGCAACCTCGCCAACCGGAACTTCTGCAGCGCGTCCTCTCTGTCCACTGGGCTGTCAAACTCCGCTGCCAACCGCTCCGTGACTGCCTCCCACGTCGTCTTCCCGCCAGCACCGTCCAAGCTGTCATACACAGCCTTCGCTCTGCCTCTCAGCAGCGTCCCCAGCACCACCAACTTCATCTTCGGCTCCTTCACCCCCGCCAGCTCCGCCACGGCCTCAAACTCCTTCAGGAAGCTCAGCACATCCCCGTCCTCAAACTCCTTCGGCCATGGAATCTTCATCCTTAGTGGAGGCAGCGACACCAAATGTAGTGAAGAAGAACACGGGTGAGGACAGCCAAATTGTATTTAGGGCAAATTACAGAATTACTTGGTAAAATAGAAAAACCATATAGTAAATCGTTAATTTGCAAAATGTCATTCTATCATATCCATTGTCTCGCATTTCATTGTTCATGCGATTTCTTACAACGTCCATTAATTTATCGCTCTTCTTTTCTTGATCTTCTCCATCTTCTGCTGCCAGACATTGCGTTCTTTTGACTCACGTTATCTACTACTTATATCAATATAAGTAGCACGCACCACACTCGTCTCCCCTTTCAACAAGTTGCTGTCGTAGTCTTTCTGACCTCCGTACCGCTGTGTTCTTTGGTGCTTTTCGTGATTCACACCCATGATGATCTTGAAACCATCTCTGTAGTTGACTAGCATTTACGCGCTTCCGTTTGTCTTCTCTCCGGATCGTGTAGACTGAGCCGCGTCTCTCCGTGATAACATACGGTCCTTCCCATTTTGGGGTCAGCTTCCCCGACCCTGCTCCCCCTGCTATGTTACTTTTTCGTTCTCTACACTTTACTAGGTCCCCCACTGCAAAGGGTTTCCACGTTCTCCTCTGTTGTTCTGCCTTCTTTGTGTCTGATATTTGTTTCTTTTCCACGTTCCTTATTGCCTCTCTCCTCTCTTTTCTTAACCTTGTTGTCGTCCACTTCTGTTGTTGTGGCCAGGTCTTATTATGCAGTGGAAGTCGTGGTTGTCTGCCATACATGAGCAAGAAAGGTGACTTCTTGGTTGTTCCTTGTGTGGAGGAACGATGTGCCAGCAAAATCAATGGTAACTCTTTCTCCCAATTTCCTCCTTTTGATGCTAACCATTCCTTTAACGTCCGATTGTTTCTCTCTGTAAGCCCGTTTGTCTGAGGATGATACGGTGTAGTTCGTATTCTCTTGATGCCAAACTGCTTTAAACGGGCTTTAAACTCGTCACTTTCAAAACAGGGACCCTGGTCAGTTAATATCATCTTCGGTATTCCGTGACACGCTACAATATGCCGAATTACCACCTCGGTCACTGTCCTTGCCCGCTGGTCTGCAATGGGTACGGCATCTACCCAACGTGTAGCATGTTCCGTCATCACTAACAGGTACTGGTTACCGCTCGCCGTCTGTGGAAACGGTCCCATCACATCCACCGACCATAGATCACCGACTGCGGTTACTGGGATTGACTGTAATGGCGGTTGTGTGTATCGACCGCTTTTCATTAGCTGACACTGCTGGCAGGTTAACACGTATTCAGCCACATCGTCTCTCATGCTCGGCCAGTATGCACTTTGTCGTAGTAAGTCCGTCGTTCTTGCGATGCCTGTATGTGCTACCTGGTGACACTCGTGTATCACTTTGCGCCGCCAGTCTTTCGGGATCACCGCCACCCAATTCTCATCATCGTCCTGCCAGGTCAGCACTCCATATGAGTTCACTCTCAGTCGTTCCTTTTGCCGAAGCAGCGTTATTACCTCCTTGTCCATTGTTCGTTTATCTACGTCTGCTCCCTCTTTTATCACTCTGATTACCTCTCGAAGGTTAGGGTCAGCTTTCTGCTGCCGGACGAGTTCTAATGGGTCTCCCTCTAAACTATTCACCGCGTATGCTGTTAATGGCAGGTCGGCTTCCATGTCTGGTCTTGACAAGTAATCCGCCATTACGTTTTCTTTTCCTGGAACATGGCCGATACTGAAATCGTATTCTTGCAGGCGTATCATCCATCGCGCCAACTTCCCTCGGGGGTCTCTTGCGGTTTTCAACCACTGCAGGGGTTTATGGTCGGTCTCAATGTGAAATCGTCTACCTAAAAGGTATGGTCTCCATTTTTCCACTGCCCACACGATCGCTAAACACTCCTTTTCGATGGTTGAATACTTCTGTTCAGCAGGTGTGAGGACGCGACTCGCGTATTCCACCACTCTATCAGCCTGACTCAACACAGCACCTATACCATGATCACTCGCGTCTGTGGCCACTGTAAACAGTCTTCCCGGTTCAGGCAGTCTGAGCGTCATCTGGCGATCGTCTAGCATGTTTTTGATTCGGTTGAACGTTTGTTCGGCAGTCTCAGTCCACGTAAACTTGGTGCTGCTCAATAACTTATATAAGGGTGCTGCTATTTCGTTGAAATTCTTGATAAACCGACTGTAGAACGCCGCTCTTCCCAGGAACTGTCTCAACTTCCTTTTCGAATTAGGTACTACAATATTTTTTATGGTAAGAATTTTCTCCGGCAATGGTTTTATTTCTCCATTTCCCACTTTATGTCCCAACAATGTGACGCTACTTCTCGCTATCTGCGACTTGTCCTTATTAATCCGAAGTCCAAATTCGTCAATTCGCTTTAAGACCGCTTCCACATGCTTGATGTGATCTGTTTCTGTTTGACTGTACACAACTACATCGTCGCCATATACCTCGACATTATCTAGATTCTTGAGCAGTAGTGTCATTAATCTTCTGAACGTGAACGGTGCACCCGCCAACCCGAACGGCATTCGTTTAAATTGATACTGTTTATCACGTACAGTAAACGCTGTCTTGCTTCCATCACTCTGTTTTATAGGTAGTTGCCAATAACCTGACCGTAAATCCAGCACTGTAAACACCGTGGCATTCTGTAGCCGATCTAATGTTTCCACCACTGTTGGCATTGCACAAGGCTTCAGGTCTGTTATATTATTCAATTCTCTGAAGTCGACACAAAATCTATACTTTCCATTTGGTTTCTTTACCAAGAGTACCGGCGAGCTATATGGACTGTCCGCTTCCTCAATTATACCTTCTTTTAACATTTCCTGGACCTGACGATTTACCTCAGCCTCTAAATGCACCGGGACACGACGTGTTGCAAATATATTTACTCGACTGTTCTTTATCGGTATTTCGTGCTTTACTCTGTCACAAAATCCATACGGCTCCCCATCTCCAGTGAATAGTTTCGCATACTTTTTGCATAACTCGTGAATGTTTGGTTTCTTTGACGAGACATCCGCTGCAACTCTTATTTCAGCCACTTCGCTACTTTCGTGTATTGTCAATGAACCATATTTCGTGACCACCTTACCGCTTCTTA